CCAACACCCAGGTGTGTCACGCGCGGCCCAGGTGTGTCACACGCGTGACCCACACGTGTCCCCCGTGTCCCCCCACCCCCGGGTCCCACACGTGTCCCCACGCGTGTCCCCACGCACGTGTTGCCCCCCTCGACCGCCCCCGCCCCCCCGGGACCCCTCCCCACGCTCCTCACGTGCCGCAGGTGGGCGCGGGGACACGTGAGCTCCCCACGACACAGGTGAGGGGGTGGCACCCCCCGGGAGCCCCCCCCGGCGACAAGAGTTGGGGACACCCCGGGCCCTCTGTCACCCCACGGGGACACCCAGGGGGAGGGGGACACCCCGCGGGGGGCCGGGGGACCCCCAAGTGTCCCCACCCCAAGGGGGGGCAATGGTGGGGGGGGAGCCAGGGGGACAAGGGGTCCCAAATGGAGCTTGGGGACACCTGGAGGGGACACCTGGAGGGGACACCTGGAAGGTCCCGGGGTCTTTCTTGGGGGTCCCGGTTGGGGGGCTCTTGGAGGAGGATGGGGGTCCCCAAAATGGGGTGGGAGGGGTTTGTTGGGGTGGGATCCTCAGGTGGGGTCAGGGGTCCTGGTTTGGGGGTCCCGGTTTGGGGTTTTGGGGTCCCAGTTTGGGGTTTCAGGGTGCCGGTTTGGGGGTCCCGGTTTGGGACTAAGGGGTCCTGGTTTGGGGGTCCCGGTTTGGGGTTTTGGGGTCCCAGTTTGGGGTTTCAGGGTGCCGGTTTGGGGGTCCCGGTTTGGGACTGAGGGGTCCTGGTTTGGGGGTCCCAGTTTGGGGTTTTAGGGTCCCAGTTTGGGGGTTCCAGTTTGGGATGCGGGGTCGCGGTTTGGGACTGAGGGGTCCCGGTTTGGGGGTCCCGGTTTGGGTCTCAGGGGTCCCGGTTTCGCGGTTCTGGTTTGGGGTTTGGGGGTCCCAGTTTGGGATTTCAGGGTGCCGGTTTGGGGGTCCGGGTTTGGGACTAAGGGGTCCTGGTTTGGGGGTCCCAGTTTGGGGTTTGGGGGTCCCAGTTTGGGACTGACGGGTCCCACTTTGGGCTTTGGGCGTCCCGCTTTGGGCTTGGGGAGGGGGGTCTCTCTCTCTTTGGGGGTCCCTCTTGGGGGGTCTGGGTTGGGTCGGGGGGTCCCGCGGCCGGGGGGTCACTCACAGCGCCCGCAGCTTGACCCAGACCTTCCTGCCGGGCACGGCCTTGGCGTCCAGCGGGGACGGGCACCCTCCGGCCGCGTCCAGCGCGCCGCGCTCCCGCTCCAGCCCCGGGAGGCTCCGCGGCGGCTCCATCGCCCCTGGGCACCGGCAACGCGGCTCAGCCCTCCCGGGCCCGGCCCCGCCGCCGCTGCCTCCCGGAGCCCCCCCCCGGTCCCTCTGGTAGCCCCCCCGGTCCCTCTGGTAGCCCCCCCGGTCCCTCACGGAGCCCCCCCCGTGCCTCCCGCAGCCGCCGCCGGTCCCTCCCGCGGCCCCGGTTCCCGGCGGTTCCCGGAGCCCCCGCGGCTCCCCCGGTGCCTCCTGCGGCCCCCGGTAGCGGCCGCAGCCCCGGCGGCGCCCCCGGCCCGGCCTCCCCCCGCCTCCCGGTACCCGGCGGCTGCGCAGGCAGCACCGGAGCCAAGATGGATCCGGGCACCGGGGGTGGGAGCACCGGCAGGGGAGAACCGGGGAGAGCCGGGAAGGGAGGGCCGGGAACGGAGAGCCGGGAACGGGAGCGGAGATGGGAGAACCGGGATGGGAGAACCGGGATGGGAGAACCGGGGATGGAGAACCGGGAATGGGAGAACCGGGATGGAGAACCGGGAATGGGAGAACCGGGATGGAGAACCGGGAATGGGAGAACCGGGAATGGGCAAAGCGGGAGTGCCGGGGGGCAGCGGGGAAGAAGCACCGGGCTGGGGAGAGGAGGGAGCGGAGGAGCGGGGATGGGCAGTGCCGGCGGCCGGGGGGGACCGGGGATGCTGCGCGCTCCTACCGGGGGATGCTCGGCCGCTGCCGCCGCTGCCGCCGGTGTCGCCGGTGTCGCCGAGCCCCGGTCCCCCGCCGCTCCCGGCTCTGCCTCCGCCGACCGGGGCTCGCCGCAACTTTCCCCGAGCCGGCACCGGCACCGGCACCGGCACCGGCGGG